CAAAGTAGCAGCAGCCAGCACTGTGGAACATCAGCAGCACAGACAGATGAAAATTAATTCTGAGAAGTAGCACACAGACCTTAAGTATATTGGGACTTCATTTTATGATACATACTTATGTGGTTTGTTAATTAAGAAACACTAAAGCATTTTCTAAAGGGAAAACAGTTTTAAAAATTCAAATCAACTTTTTGTTCAAAGTCTAATTAGACTATTCATCACACAGAGTGACATTTTTCACTCAAGTTTCCCATTTGGCCTGGAAAAAATCATAAAGCAGTTTGTTTGTCAATTTTTAGTATTTTAGGAAGCCAGCTGGGAGTTCTAATGTAATTATTAGCCACCTAATAGATGACCATTCAATCTAATAGTCATTCATTAACTATTGCAAATGTATGCTGTTACTGATAACCACCACCTTTTACAATATTTCTGGACTAATCTGCTATGAGAGCAAAGTAATTTTTTATAATTCATTTTCTTTTTATACATACAATAACATATACAATGTCTCAACTTGCTTGACTGAAGAAAAAGCAATTCTACTGGACCTGAGTTACTACTATTACATGGAGAGTTAAGAGCTATACGATATATTAAGACCAGAACAATAGAGCATCTTTCCTGCAACAACTTTGATCCCTATTGTCATATTTCAGGTGGGCTGCAAAGCTATTTTGGTGTTTTTTCAGTATGGTGTTATGGCAAACTTTTACTGGCTCTTAGTTGAAGGACTTTACCTCCACATCCTCCTTGTGCTAATATTCTCCCCCAACAGACACTTTACGATTTACCTGCTGATTGGATGGGGTAAGAACTTTAAAATCTTATAACTTTTTTTTTTTTTCTATATGAATATATTAGTCAGGTTCAATATTTCATACCAAGGTAGTCATGCCATTTCTGTGGGATGACTTCTCAGACTCACTAGTTCCTCAGTTCAGCTCCAGCACAGGTTACAGTCACTGTACCATGGGGAAGAGTGAGCACAAAATTGCTGAAGCTGACTGCTGGAATGCTCCTTGCAATGGTTCTGACCTGTGGCGGTGTGCACAATGCCCAGGGATTGTTCAGGAGATGGGATGGTGCAGGAACTGCCACCACAAAAACATACAATTAGGAGGAAAGAGAAGTTTAGCTGCATAGCCACAGGGTATTCTATGCTCTCTGACTTTGAAAATCATAATAAAATTGTCCACCTGGTTTTAAATACATGTATTCCTTTCACTTACAGAAAGTGCAATGATATGTGTATGGAGCAATTTAAAGCTTCCAGTAATAGGTGGTCATAAAACATTTAGGTATTGCTGGGGAAAGGGAATAAACCAGTGTGTGGGAATGGTTCCTTATGAAATGATTTACACTTTAGTTTTATATTGTAGTCCTTGGAAGTGCATTGGGAATGCATAACTTGTATCTGTCTCCCTCAAGGTCACTCTGACAGCTTGAAAGAAACCTAAGAAAGGCTGAGAATATTCTTTGTGGTTTTGTCATTACAGCTACATTTTATAAGAAATAATACCACTTCTCTGCAGTTTTGTTTGTTATGATGGAATCATAGAATGTTTTGAGTTGGAAGGGACCTCAAAAAGGCATCTAGTTCAACCCCTCTGCAGCAAGCAGGGACATCCCCAACTAGATCAGGTTGCTCAGAACCCCATCAAGTCTGACCTTGAATGTCTCCAGGGATGGGGCCTCCACCTCCTCTCTGGGCAGCCTGTTCCAGTTTCACCGTCCTCATAGTAAAGAACTTCCTAATGCTTACATCACGTAGCTCATCAAATGGGCCTCCCTCTCCATTCACTAAACTGTTCACTATATGCTGTATATTACATAGACTCATAGAATCATTTTGGTTATGAGAGACCTTTGAGATTATCAAGTCCAACCATTAACCCAGCACTACAGGTCACCACTAAACTGTGTCCCTACGTTCCACACCTACCTGTTTTTTAAAGGCATCTAGGGAGGGTGACTCCACCACTTCCCTGGGCAGCCTGTTCCAATGCTTAAAAACCCTTTCAGTGAAGAAATTTTTCCTAACATCCATCCTAAACCTCCCCTGGCGCAACTTGAGGCCAACTGCTCTTGTCCTGTACCTTGTTACCTGGGAGAACAGACTGACCCCCCCACCTCAGTACAACCTCCTTTCAGGTAGTTGTATAGAATGAGGTGGTGTCCCCTGAGCCTCCTTTTTCCAGAGTAAACAACTCTGGTTCTCTCAGCTGCTCCTCAGAAGACTTGTTCTGTAAACCCTTCACTGGTTTGGTTGTCTTTGGACATATACCAGTGTGTATTATTTGAGGAATAATAGTTGCTAGCAGGCTGATTTATTTTGGGTTTTTACTTATGTTTTTGTGATCATCTCCTAAACATCTTTGGGATTTTTCAGGAATTCCTACCATATTCATTATTACGTGGACAGTGACACGGATCATTTTAGAGGACACTGGGTAAGTGTGTGGGGGAGAGTACAATCCTTGGATATGGTGGCTTGCTGTTCTGAAGAGGATGAGCACAGAACTGAAATTTAGATATGTCAGTAAAGGGACAAGTGTTTAGGACCTTTTCAGCGTGCTGTTTTGCTTGCTGTTTATCTGAAAAATTCTAAAGGCAGGAGAGGGAACAGACTTACAACTGACATTACCCCTTGAGACGCACATTTAGAGCTATGTGCTTTGTAAGTCAAAATAATACTTGAAATAGCAGTGGAGGTCCTTGGGTTCAGTGCTGCAATACACTGCAGTAGGATGCTGGGCATTCTGATTTGCTAGCTAGCAACTCAAAAGACTGAAATGTAGTTAACTGTGAGTATATCTAAAATGCATTCCCAGAAGTGAAGCAAAGTGATGTAAACATATGTAAGATGCACATAGTCAGGTAACACTATGACTAACTAGAGCTAGCCCTGGCTTCTGGCATGGGAAGGGGATCTGAGACAAGAATTCTGTAGGAAGTTGAGACCTGCTGGTTCTGCAGGCCCCAAAGAATGGGAGAGCATTACTAGCTAGTGAGGAAAACAGTTTTCACACCCTTTTTTCAATCTGACTAATATTTTCCAGTTGATTCTGTAATTAAACTGAAAAATCATGCCCTACATAATTTCTAAGTTTTCTTTGAAAGACCTCTAACGTGTCAGCTGAAGCCAGCTACTGTTTTCCTTTGCCATGGTCACAGTCATTATGATCACAGAATTCTGAAGGGTATTGCCCTTGTTTAAAATTAATTTTCAGAGCGTGTGGACCAAAAGTGCCAAGCCCATAGTGAAAATTAAATTTTCTGCTTTTCAGATGAAATGTCAGGTTCAATCTCACATTTCCCTAAACCAGTTCCAGCCATCTATAACCTAAATATCCCACAAGGAATTATGTAATTTCAATTGTATCTGTCAGTTGCTTTATATCTTCCTGCTACCCAGAGGCTGGTGTTAAGTGCTGATTGGAAAAGTGTCCTTACACAATGTGAAACTAAGCTTGGTTTCCCTAAAGGCCAACATCCTGCACGATGTCTTAATGGTACAGTCTAGTTTGCCTGATGATTTAGCTGATTTGAATATGCATATTAAAACCAGGGAAGTCAAATCAAAAGCAGAAAAAGATTGCATGCCAAATTCTAGGCTAGAACAGGCATTATTTTTGTGTGCTTTGACTTGTATATAAGAAAGACTTCTCTTCATAGGTCTTGCTTGCCAGATGATATTAATGTCAACATCATTTTACCTTTTTTTTTTTTTATAGTTGCTGGGATACAAATGAGCATGGTGGTCCCTGGTGGGTTATACGAATACCAATTTTAATTTCTATTATAGTAAGTAAACTTTGAAGCATGAATTATTGATCAGTTCAGTGTTGCGTGGTGCATATAGCCATTATTCTTTACTGCTAGTTACAGATAGGCAAGAATTCTGTTTTAATGAAAAGAAATTACGCTGTAGGAGAAATGTTAAACAGATGCCAAGGCCATTAAAATTTGTTCCCTTCAAAATTTATCTGCCTCCTATTAAATGAGCAGTTGTTTTCTTTGTATGTTGTTATTTCTTTAACATCTCTCCTGTTTATGAGCTTGGGGGAAGCAAAAATCTAATTATAATTCTCAGTGAATTGCAGATTTGATTTTGTGTGTAAATAGAAAGCCCTGCAATTGAAAATCTGATATTACTGCAGCCATAAAAACTATGGATGTGTATATCTTCCTTTAATTGGTAACGTACTGAAATATATATTAACATGAAGTATTTGCAAAAGAATAGCATTTGAAAATGTTTCATGGGGCTTTTTCTACACAGAACTCATTGGAATTACTGGAGTGGCATAACAGAATTCCTGTTCACTGTGATGATTGTGCAATTAACTTTGGGTATAATATACTATGGTCATATATCCATTTCTGAAAACAATTACAGTGCAAATTTAATACATTTCAGGTACCCTTGCTTTATTTAAAGTAAAAATAGGACATTATTTGATTACACAAGATTTCAAGGGTCCACATTATGCTTGGGCTTGCCTTTCAATCTGTGCTGAGTGATAGTCATTTCAAAAGAGCTGCCTATCATCTTTACCAGAGTGAATTCTACAGCACTTAAAGAGAATGCAGAGTAGGCCTATGTGTGAAATGACATAACGTAAGGACTCACAGAAAAGATGGTTTATAATATGAAGAAATGGGCAAGCAACAGAACTACAGCATGAAGAGTTTGCGTACCTCAAAGGAGATGGAGAATGTGAGGTGGTCCAGAGTGAAGAAAATATGCTGAAAGATAAAAGCAAAATAAACCACCTGGTGTTTACAGAAAGATGAAAGTCTGTTCTCTAGATGTTCATTTTAAAAAGCTATCTGGTAGACAGCTGAGCCTTCATGTGCCAGAAAGCAGTGCTTCTCCAAAGTCCTAGACCTGGAAATGGAAGTTATCCAAACGCTCATTGGCAGACTTGAATTGCAGCTGGATCTTGGGAAAGGCTGGGAAATGAGTTGTGAGTCAAGGAAATGGAGTACTGGTCAGTCAGCAAAAGTTGAGTGTGTCATAAAATGTGGATCAGAATCACTTTTTGAGGCAAAGGAACAGTCGTTCTTTTTTAAATGGTTTTATTACTGATTTGATACAAAGGGATTATAAATCATAAGGAGATGCTTTGAAAATTGCCTTTTTTGTCTTGCCGGGTGTGCGTTTAGGATCTGCTGTGTCCTTCTAGATATGTTCCTTCTCTTAAACAGCATACCTTAGGGGTGAGAGCAACTGAAGATGGGCAAGTGATTCTGCAGTTTCTACTGTGTGAACCTGCTTACTTTTCTGATAAGATGATTCTTTAGCTGTTCGATGAACTACATTTTACATTTGGGAAGTTAAGCTGTGAAAGGGAGGTACAGAAGCTGTCATACTTAACTTTTGCTGCTGGATAAGTAATGTATCTTGTTGGAGCATGAAACTACAATCAGCATGTTCATTGTGACAGCTGAGATGGTAGGCAAACTCACTGCTGTGCAAAGTAGAGCTTGCATACACAAAGCATGACGAGTGAAGGAAATTTCACATAAAATTGGTCAATGATGACTGAAAAACACTACATTCATGAGAACATAATTTTCAATAGACATACACCATGGTAAACCTCAACATTTCCTATTGTCTTCTAGAACAAATAGAAGTTGAAGATTCAAATCTTTGAGTAATGAGGTCAGTGCTGCCTGCCATTCCACAATGAAAACAGAGCATTGCAAGTTCTTTGAATAGGTGTTGTGAAAGAGTCATGATGTTTCTCAATAAAAATATGATCTAGTTACATCGTATTCATTCACACAGTGCCTTCAGTCTGCTTGAGAATGTGGGAAGACTCACAAAGCATGGTGACATGGGTGAATAGTAATAACAAATGGTTTCAGTACTAGGAAGGACTTCTGTATAAGTAATCAAGGAGGTGAATACAGGAAAACTCTGAAAAAAGCTGAATTTCAGGAAAATAGAGGAGAGCAGAACACCTAAGCTGAGAACTCTCACTGACTGCCTTATGTAATGGCATGAAAGAAAGCTGAGTACAACTTAAACTGAAAATCTTTAAGAGGAGGAAGAAGCACGAAGAAAAGATTGATACCATGAATATACTTTTGGAAGAGAAAAGCAAGCAAAGGTTTTAAGCAACACTGGTTTAACTGCATTTAACAGGAAGTCTGGTCAGTCTTCATGCCATATTCACTTTGTTCCGTTATATCTGTGTTAACTCCAAAAGTTTTCACTGCTTAGCAGATTATACTATCTGTAAGGTTATTGTCCAACAGTAAACAGTGTTGTGAGTTCTGAAGTCACTTTTCAAAGTGGGGGGTAGCTTCAGTTAATTCAGTGTGTCAGAAACCTTCCCTGGCATCTTCATGCTGTGCACATTTCAGAGTTATTTCATTGGGAGTGACTATTCCAAACAGCTAACATGGTATTGCCCATATTGTCCATTTAGCAAATGTCTCCACAGCTGCTTTCTCCATACTTCCACTGGCATAAACAACTCTCATTTGGGAAGGAGTGGTGTTTGAGTGGAAACACTACTTCTGTCACATCAAAGTAACTGAGAAATGTTTACCTGGTTATCTCACATAGCAGATAATGTAAGGGACTAAATACAAAGGAGGAAGCAACATAAAGACAGTTTAAGTGATACATTCTGGGGAATGTGTTTAGACTCAAAAACTTATAGTCAGAAGTTAGCCAATAGAAAAGGGTACCACCAGCATCTTGCTGTTACTTCACTAAAGAGGCACCATTTGTCATCACTCTGGCAGGGGGGTTGGACTAGATGATCTTTCGAGGTCCCTTCCCACCCCTATGATTCTATGACTCTGCATTCGCATTATTTTCTTTTCTTGCTGTTCTTAGATGTTCATTGAACATACTGTATTTTATTTAAGGACATTATGCTCAAACAATTTTATGGGACTGAAAAGCTACAATAGTAAAATAGTCCAGGGCACTGCTTGTTTCATATTGTATTGGAACTTTACTATTCTAAATCAGATATAAACAAAAAAGGATTTTAACAAAAGGCCAAATCAGTAATAATCTTAGAGAAATTAATTTACTCCACTAGTAAGTCAGTGTCAGTTGCTACCTTTAGATCTTAATACTCGGTTTCACTTGTTTGGTTTTACAAGCTCAGTAGTGCCAGGGACTGCTACAAACTCCTGACAAGAATATCAGTTGTCATTAATTCAAGATTGTGGTTATAGACAGAAAGGTGTATGTTTGAAAACAGACTTAAAAGTAATACATGAATGTCAGTCAAGAACATCAGTCATCTGACTGTAGTTTTGGAAATTATCTGATGCTTCAGAAACCAAATGGATGGCAGTTTATTCTGCTACAGTAGAAACTAGGGATGCCTGTGAAGAACAAGAAGTTATTCTGCCAATCACTTTGCAAGTATTGAACAAAGATTTTTCCTTCTCCTACTTTGTGACTAACAAATACACAATGAAATGGAATCTCTTTCCTTGTCCACTAATACTGGCTCTAGTGCACATGGCAAACTAAATGTCTAGCTGTTGGTCTGTACACTCTGCTGTGGTAAGTCTGTAGGTACAATCAGCAATAACAGGCTTATGCCTGTTACTTTTATAGGAGACTTGCATCAAGGAAAATTTCTAAGTCATCATCTTGCTGAAAAGTGTACATTAAGTTCAGTAAGACCTATATTTTCTAGCATTTCTTTTTTGTTCTTCTATTTTCAAAAATATTATATACAGTATTCCTGATTTTTTATTTAATCCCTGTCTGTTCCTGTCTTAGAGAGACTTAGAATCTACTGAATGAATCTGACTTCAATTTCCTAGATTGGTTAGGATCTGATCATAAGGGTTTTTTTATGCAAGCACCTTTCTATGAAATACAGTATGAAATAAAAAAAAATACTACTGTTCTATCTCAGAAAGTTATCATGAGAATTAGACTACAAGGGTTCAGTTCCTTCAGTGATAATAGCTGCATTAATACCCAGGACAGACAGATACTTGTGAGAGGACCTTTCCATTCTTGATGGGAGTGGACAGATCACCTGTACAACAATCTTCTCTTTCCC